CTTTTCTATTTTCTTGCTATTCACACAGTTCTGACATGGTTCCTTCAGATTATATGATGAATGTGGTAAAAGATTACAACCATATTACTGGCAATACACTTTGGTCAGGTTGGCTGTATGTGAAATAGAAATTTTGTGTAGTAGAAAGCAATGGTTAAACAAACATCCAGTTTCTTTTGATGAACAACTTCACACGGACTGTCTAGTATTTCACAATATTTCACTGAGTTAAGTGTCTGACTTTATGGTATGAAGTTCACAGTTGTTATGCCTTTTGTATCCCTGAACACAATTGACATTTGATGACTGTTAAAATTTGAATTTTTCTAGTTTCGTGACACTGGATACTTCAAGGTAATGGTATGCACTCAATCTGGGAAAAGCTTCTACACAGCTGATGCTCTTGTTGCAGAGTTGCAAGAATATATATATATATATAATGGATTTTTAAAATCTGACATTATTTCTTACTACTATAAACATTATAATTAATGAGTTGATGTCTTTGGACATACATACCCATGTTTTTCTTAACAGTGAAATTAATATCTTCTGGCATTGAAATAAACTCTTCATAAAGGAAATGTGCTTCATGAAAAGAATCAAACTTGTTTACCCTTTTTAATTTTTAGGTACATATTCTTAAGACTTTCAATCTCTAAGCTGGTAGACATTAATTTCACTGTTTAAAATATGGTGATAGTTATTTTAACATGTGTGTCTACTCAGTATAAAATTTGTAGTAATAAGATACAAACACAGTGGGGTGCTGAAACATTCTTGCCCTAACTTCACAAAATCTGTCCAAACATCATTTTTTTTCACTTTTTTTTACTAGGGTTTTCTTGGTTAAGCTGTGAAGCTTATAGCAACTTTTTGTTTATATGTGTATTTAGGTAAGTTGTATATTTATTTTGTATATGTATTATACATTTGTGTGTGTGTGTGTGTGCACATGAGTTACATAAATTTAATGTATACTTCTTACCTTCCAGCATCTTGATGACTATAATAATTTTATTGGCAAACTTTCAGATAGCTCTGAATATGTAGATATTAAAAAAAATAAAATTCAAATGTAATTTCATTGACAAAAATCAATATATAAATTTGATGATCCATAAGTTACTTTGTACAATCATGAATATTAAATTTGAACAAGTCTGAATGGTGACTGAAAAATTGTTATTTAAAAAATAACTTCTGATATGTTATGGCTGCTGATATGGTTATGCCATCTTACTGATATAAAATCAATTTAAGTACCACAATTTCATTTGTAAATCTTGGTTGGAGAGACAAAATATACAGATTTGAGTTCAATTTTATTTATGAAAAATATAATTTGTTTTTTGAAATTCTGAATTATATTCCTGAACAAAGCTAAAGAATGTATTAGTTGAAAAGTTAAAATAAACCAATAAAGATGAGTGTTAGTTAAATATGGTTATACTGATTTGTATTATTAACTGTGATATAATAGCTATTAAACTTAGTGTATAAATTGGGTTTCAATAGTAACAACTATTATGGGACAGATCATCATCACAAATTGCATGTTTGAGTGCAGTTGTATGGTTCCTGGGACCAGTTTCTTCTACATGTTTTGCTGATAGATGTAACCATTCATGTTTATCGTTTCTTGGGCAAGTAGATCTGGTGAGGACAATACTTCTCTAGGTCAGACCAAAGATGGTCTTCCAACTTGAAGGATCACTATGGTCATGGACACATGGTTGTTGATTTAATTGGAAGAACTCTCTGTCCTGGCACTTGACTTCAATCTAAGAAGGACTCTGCATGGCTACAACTGTATCATCACTACATTGGCTGAATATATAGTAATCCGAATATACCCCATTGCGTTAGATGGCCATTGACCCTAAACAAAGTTTCATATGTCATTTTAATCATGCTAGGTATCTAGCCACCTTCCTCACCAGAGACATCAGATTGGGGTAATTAGTTTAGTCACCAATGACATAAGCATGTATTACATACTACTCAGATATATGGTACCAGATGTACTTATAAAGGGGCCTGACACAAGATAAATAGCATAAAAAATATTTCTTTTATTTTAATATTGTACCAATAGATAATCTGATGGAAAAGTTGACTTTCTGTAGACAACACACTTCGGAATGGGATCTCACATATATCGACAGGATGAGGGCTTAGCAATGGGCTCACCATTATCGCCAGCAATGGCGAATATATACATGGAATACTTTGAGGAAATGGCATTACAATCTATATCTCTAAAGCCAACTACATGGTTAAGGTATGTAATGACATCTTCATACTCTGGCCGCACCAGGAAGATGTTCAGGTTCTACTGACCATGTGAACTCAATAAGACCTTCGATACAGTTCACAATGGAGAAAGAGAGTAAAAACACACTCCCATTCCTGGATGTTCTAATATCTCGAACAGAGCATGGGTTCAAGACATCCGTACACCGTAAACCCACATTCACCGGACAGTATCTCAATTTCA